CTGAGCACTGGGAGGAACTCCGAACTGGCGCTAGACAGAATTTTTTGGAGAGACCGGAGCCCCACATTCGACCAAATGCCCCAATGGATGAAGAGATGTTGGAAGCCGCCGTCCAGTTTGTGGATGAACTTGTTGAACTTGGAGTGCTGAGACACAAGATCCGGTCTTCATGCCAAGGATTGCCCACGTCGTCGACCAAATGTACACTGGCGGATTCTCTGCAGTTGTGGACTTGTCCAAGTTCTTCTACAACTTTCCAACACACTTAGAAGACCGGCCGTATCTTGGCCTTCTACACCCAAAAACCGAGGAGCTGTTGACATACTGCGGGCTTGCAATGGGAGCTGGAAACAGCCCAGCCATTGCATGCCGAATTGGATTGGCCTTTGTACGTTTGGTGAAACAAAAGTGTGATGTCTTCCAAGGAGAAGCCAAGGCCAACTGCTACTGGACCGGCTTCCAGAACAACGGATTCGATCCGAAACTTGGATACGGATTCATTCTTACTTCGGCCGATGGAGGAGCTGTGCACATCTGGGTTTGGGTTGATGATTTCCTTATCCATGGACCCTCCCATGAGATGACCACTCAAGCTCTGGCATTCTTCCTTGACACAGCCGTTGACTGTGGTTTCCTTTTCCACCCAAAGAAATTGGTTCCACCTCAACAAGTGGTCAAATACTGTGGCTTCCTACGAATCCTGGAATCCAAAGTTTGTCATCGTACTCGTTTTTGTCCCAAATCTCTCCTACCTCACTACTCAATTTAACGGTATTTCCTCACATTTCAGTCCGCAACAACTCATTGATAATGTCAATATCAACTACAAGAGTGACATGGTTGCTGAGCTTGGACAGTATGTTCATGCAATTGGGACGGATTCCAACAATTCGATGGAACCGCAAAGTATTGAAGCGATATACATTGAACCTACAAAGGGACAATGTACAGGGCACGGAGTGCTCAACCTGAATACTAAGAAGATGATTTCTCGACCCAAGGTTGTCGTACTACCCGTTACCGATCAAGTAATCCAGCGTGTTGAAGCTTGGGCTGCTGCCGAAGGTGTTACTTCCATGAAGTT